CTGTGTGTTGGCCTGGTGTTGTTGCCTGTGATTTTAATGAAGATTATTCTTGTAACACGACAGTCGCCTGTTTGCTCCTATTCTCCCCCCAAAATATTTTCTCTTCAAACTGAGAATGTGTGTTCTTTTGAGGAATATGTGCAGCATTTGTGTTTTGTTGAAGGTCAATCACCAGTTAATCGCGGATATAATTAAAGATATTTAGGTACCACATTTTTGACGTTGATTAATCATATAACAGGCTTCTGAGTCGTTAATAATTAGTACTTATTTTCATCCTGTCTAAGCAATGCAGGCTCGCATCAAAAAGGGGAAAGCTTCAGTTACTGGACTGGAGCCTTCTGTTTTCTATTGTTCGGCTTTAGGCTGATAGTGCTCTGGGAAACCTCAGAGGATCCTCAAAGGAGTAAGTGCACACTTCATGGCATGGCTACTCTTAAAATGGAACTGATGTTTTATAAATAATTTCAAAGTTACAAACATCAGCCTTACAATCACAGCGATTCAATGATATTCATTTGGCATAAGTCAGTTTCATTTCTGTGTGCTTTTCATCAGAAATGGCTTAAAAAGTAGAGTTAGTCTGAATTTTTTATGCCATGGGCTTACTGGGGACAGTGGCCATGTTCTTCACTTGCAGACGTCTGACAGTGCATGGCAGCAGAAATAACAAAATGGTCACAAACCCCAACTGCACTCCCCGGGTCACACAGGCTCTTTAAAATTTAAAGGGACTAGCAACAAACCAAACAGTTGATAACGGGTCAGTAGCAGGTGATAAAAGAAGTTTTCGGGTATTAGCCCTTCCACTAACTTTGTGATTCCTGACATTATATCCTCTCCATTTCTTTAGCCAAATAATACACATCAGAGAGCATGCGGCATGTTGTAGGCATTACTCTCTAAGGGTGTGTACTACCCAGAGGATTACAATATTTCACAAGTGCTACTTTGCTCCAGAATTGGTATGAGACGAAATTCACACATTTATAATTATGCATTCATTTTTTACATTCTGTCATCTGCATTAACCTTATTCTATTTTTTTAAAGTGTGTGTGTGTGGG